TTTTATTCAGCCCTTGTACCTTTTGAATTAATCACATGCACCACTAAATCCCTTATGAGCGTTTGGTTTTAATCAGTTGAGTCATGCGTCTATATTACTCTATATCTATCAACTACTTTGGTTTAATGTTGTGCTTTTTTTCAAGTTCAAAATTTCAGTAATCATTTTGTCATGAACAAGTCATTTAATGATTGTTTGTGTTAGAAAGAATAGTTCACTGCTTTTGACAAGATCTTTTTGTGCTTTAGGTTTTATTGCCAGAAATATGTTTAAAGAAGGTATACCAAGGGCTTATCATGATAAGTTCAGAAATTAAAAAGGCCTTTCACAGTGATATATCTGAATTTTACAAGGGCTAAACTAAACAAAAATGGGTAAAGTTTGTGTGGTTTTAAATCATTCTTCATTTATTCTTACTTTATCAATTAAATATTAACCACATAAACTCAGTTTTCTAAATAAGCGCACCACCTTCTCATGTCCAAATGTTAGTGGGACGGAGGTAGTAGTTTAGAGAAGTATAGGGGACAAATAATGTGTTTTCTCTAGTTTTATCAATTTTCTATACAAAAGTCATGATTGAAAATATTTGTTCTGGGAGAATTTTCTCCCCCCTCATCTGAATCACAGTGTTCTTCCCTTTATAAATCAGGCAAACACTCATGTGCATGTTCAACAAGAGTTGAAAGATGTCAAGCTTTGGCAGGTCATATATATCTATCCCGTTCTATCCCTCCCATCTTTTCATGACACTTTTCGTTGAAAACTGATCGTGTTTGGTCTTTATGCATCAGGTTCATACACTTATTAAAGGTCTGGAAAAGATTGCGGCCAGTGCAGATATTCCAATGTTGGTGTGTGGTGATTTTAATTCAGTACCTGGAAGGTCTGTGTTGTCTTTGATTCATAATAAAAATTATTTAACTTCTAAAAGCTTAAAGCTCAGTGTAATTGGCTGTGATAATAAGCTACTGTAATAATTATGGTAATAATGAAGAAATGTATGTGGGTCCAATGCAGTGCCACTCACTCCCTCCTTGCAGCTGGGAAAGTTGATCCAATGCATCCAGATCTACACATTGACCCTCTTGGTATTCTGCGCCCAATTACCAAGTTAACACATCACCTGCCATTGGTATAATTTTATTTAATATGTTTATAAATTTCCAACTAGAAGGGGAGCCTTGGTGCACCGGTTACGGTGTTTCTGTGGGACTGAGAGGGCATGGGTTCAAGTGTTTCGAGCGGCCTCTTGTGTAAACAAAAAGGGAAGACCTGCTCTTTATACACACTTGTGCTGGTACCCTTCCCTGGACCCTCGCCTTGCGGGGACGCCAATGTGCATTGGGCTGCCCTTTTATAAATTTCCAACTAGTTCTGCCATTTTGCCCTTTATAAAATCAAGTCAAGAGGAAATAAGTTTGATATTGGCTTATTTGGAAATTTGTTAATTTATTGTGGCATGCTTCAATACAGGTAAGTGCTTATTCTGCCATTGGTAGGCTGGGGGTAGGCCTTGGGTTTGAGCAACAGAAAAGACGAATTGACCCTACTACGAATGAACCCCTATTCACAAATTGCACTAGGGACTTCATTGGTACCCATGATTACATTTTCTACTCTGGTAAATTTTTGGGAGCAATACTCAACTGTCATTTTTTTTTTCTCATTTAGCTTTTCTATGTCTTCGTGCTGACTTCGCTTTGTAACTAATTGTTTTTTTTTTTTAATTTAGCGGACTCTTTAACAATTGAATCATTATTGGAGCTTTTGGACGAGGAGAGCTTGAGAAAAGACACAGGGCTTCCTTCTCCGGAGTGGTCTTCGGACCATATAGCACTCTTAGCTGAGTTTCGGTGCAAGCCTAGAACTAAACACTGACTGGCTAGGTAGCTAATCCTACTTATTAAAGATGATAAATATTTATTTGTGCTGATTCTTCTTGTATTATATACTCAGGTATATCAATATGGTAATGGTGTCTATTTGCTTTGTAGGCATTGTTGCATGAAGGGGAAATTAAGAAGCAGAAACGCGTCAAAAGGATTAAAGGTGATATCATTTGTAAGAATAGTAGATGGTGCCTCTTTTGTTTCTCTTTGGTGTGCCCTTCTTCAGTGGGCCCTATCTCATAGAAGAAAAATAAACTGGTTTGATGTATTTTTCATATGGTCTAGAATACAAATATATAACGGAGAAATCTCTGTTCAATATCTTCTGTGTAATCGTGTTTTTCTTTATACATTGGCTAATTCAACACAAGATTTCTGATATAAAATTACAGATAATCATTAATTCAACAATAAATAAATGTAGTATGAAATAAACAAAAAGCACATGATTTTACATGAAAATCCAAACGAGAGAAAACTACTACCTCCGTTCTTTTTTATTAGTCCTTCTTTCCTTTTTGGGTCGTTTTTTTTATCTGTCCTCCTTTCCATTTAAGGAAAGTTTTTACTCAAAATATACCTTTATACCCCAACTTTTATTACCATTACCCCTTTCTCTTTCCTACTTTTTTATTTATCCACTACTCATTACACCTTTTACACTATCCCTACTACTTTCTTCTTAAAACCCGTGACAAAGCCTAAGAGGACTAATATTAAAGAACGGAGGGAGTATTGGACTTTTAGAGCTATCAAGCCACCTCCTGACCTGTCTAAGGTAGGGGTGGACCAGGACTGGTCGGACTGGCATTGTGCAGTACTGGACGAGCCCAGTTGATTGGGATTGGGACCGGGCCTGGGGCCTGGACCGGTGGGGTTTGGGGGCAGGACACGGGCTTAAGGCTTCTTGGAATCGGCCCGGGATTGGTTCGGGCCAAAAAAGTTTTTTTTTTGAATGGATTGGGGGGCAGGTGGGTTAGGCTGGGTGGTTTGGGGGTGTATGGGGGTGGAGGTAGGAACAAACAAGAAAAACCAAAAAAATAAAAAATAAACATGACCGGGGCCTGGACCAGTCCCAGAACCAATCCAGGCCGGTACCTGGCTTAATGCCCAAAAAATTGACCTGCCCAAGATCTGACTTGGTCCTGACCTCGGCTTGGTCCACCCCTAGTCTAAGGTAGCGTAGGAAGTGAGCTTGAGATTATTATTCGCATATTCGCATTCATATCGATTATCGTGAATGAATATATGCATGTGTTTAATAGTCAAATTTTATTTTCCATTTGTATTCGATTGTTACGTTTTAGACTTTTAGTTATTCGACTTTGATTTGAATATTTGACAATTGACATAATGAAAGATATGTATTTTCCATCCATTTTGAAAAAATATATTTCAAAATGCAAACATAATATTGAAATTTAATTTATGAACAACGATTTAACTAAAGAATTGTAAGCATATAAGAGATCGGACCAGACTAGACTTGGATAGTTATTGCAAGTGTGGATGTGTTTATTTGGACTATAATTCGTCCCTGTCTCCCTGATCAGATCGGACCAGACTAGACTTGGATAGTTATAAAAATACAAAGAGACCAGACATTACCAGATCAGACCAGCAAATTACAATTCAAGTAAACACATCCTATTTTGTCAATCACAATGTAAAATTTAACACAATCATGTCTACAATATTTATTATTATTATTATTATTATCATTAAATTAAAAAAAATTATATTTTGTCCATGATCTAGACCATATATGTATCGAGACATACCATTCCCTATCATTACTACAAGAAAACAAGCATATAACATTGATTTTCTATGTGACTTGAAAAAGACGAGTCTAAGTGAGACAGTGATGGTCATCCAAACCCTCTGGTAACTGCTCCGGGGGAAGGCTTTCGTCTCGGTTGGAAAATGTAATATCTTAACAGTCTAGAGAATTATAGACTGCAAAACACAATCAATGTTTTCTATTACAAGCACTCAAGTGATTATATGTCACTTTTTAAGTCTCAGTCTTTTTAATTTTATTCCAAAACTACACCAAGATTTTTAAACGCTACTTCATAATTTTCTCAATTTGCTTTTATGATTTGGTATGACCTATTTACGAAAAGGTTTGTAATTTCTACCAGGGTAAATTTGAAAAGGTGGTTGCAATCAATTTTCTTAATATCAGTTCAAAATCGTCAAATAAAACGTAATATAAAATGGAAAGAGTTGATCTTCTTTGGATTATTATTATTGCTATCTCATTCAGAATTGACTAACCAAAGCCAAAACAACTACTTGAGCATAACTAACATCATTATCACAGTAATTAGCCTCAGCTCAAAATGGATTGGTTTGTGTTTGTCTCTGTTTGGCTTGGCGTTACAATGGATTGTTTAGCTATCTACTTTGAGATAGCGGCGAAAAGGATTCAATCTAATATGGTAAGTACGTCGTTATTACTCAATTTAATTATCCAATGCATGTTTAGTTATAGGATTAGGGAACTCATGCTTCATGAATGATGTGAAATTATAAATGAATGAATCTACGTAGTGGTGGAGATAGGGAGGGATGTGAATCCATTCCGTCTTGCTAAGATTGTCTCATCTTTTCTTCTCGATACGTTTAAGTGAGATTGTCTCATATCAAATCTGGTAAGTTCTGTGTAAAGTGAAATACTTTTTACTTTATCAATTCAATATTACTTCAATAAGCTCATCTTTCTTAATAACTGCACCACCTCCTTATATCTCAATGTTAATGAGACGGAGGTGGTACGTATAAATATTTTCAAACTTTATAATATACTACGTGTGTAAAAATATAGTCCGTAGTGTTTAAATTTTGACTCTGCAATATAAAATCTTCAAAATCTCACCTAACACTATATTTGTCATTGAATTAATAAATATATAGGTGAAGAATATGGCAGCTCGTTGTCATGACATTGATATTCATTTCATCGTCGGATTGGCATGCCTTGTGGCGGGTCATATATATTCTAACTTTGTCGGAGTTTACTTGAAGAAAAATGGGCATCGAAATCTTGGTCAATGCGCAATAGTATTTTTTGCCTTCTCATGGTAAAATAATTAATTATTGTTTCTTTAGCAGTTTTTTTTTTGCTGAAACCTCGAATCTCCAGAGTTTTTTGAGTGGACCAATGTTTGGCAAAGTTCATTTACACCGATCATGAACAACTGAACAAGGTAGGGTGTTCGGCTCATAGGGACCGTCTGATTAAAAATTGATTAAAAATCCAACGACGACAAATTTTGGTGGTCCACATCTCGAGGCGCCTCCTTCCCCATCTGCCCGTTGGTTGCCGCAAGGCACCTCAGCCGCACGGCAGAGCATCTCAATCTCATTTAGACACATAAGTATATCAAAAGTCAGTTATTCTTGTTATTTTGTTGATAAGCAAAATTGTGTTAAATAATTTGGAATTTAAAATCAAACAGGCTTTAAAAGGTGTGAGGTTTAATACTTCTATTATTTTAGAATTGCAAGTGTTTGTGGCAAAAATGATGGATAGAAGAGAATCCATAATAACAAACGCTCTATATTTGAGTGGTACAAGCTTACAACAACATAAATTCTGCAAAACAATTCAATAAAGGGGCGAGAGTTACTGTTTTCAAAGATTTTTGCTGTATACTCCGTATGAAACAGTGTTTTTCTGGAAAATGGGACCGTCTTTTTTCCACTAGTAAAACTAAGATTCATACAATCACAAAAAGAACATAAAAGTAAGTAAAAGAAAAGTTATTTTCTATGTGTGGTTGACTGAGTTCTTTTTTTTACAATAATACAAGTAAGAAAAACTAATGGTCTTTGGTTCTTTATGCACAGAAGCGTTATATTTAAGATTTAGGGGTGTTTGGAATTGATTCTGCTTTTGCTTCTTTTTAATGCAGAAGCAGAATTAGTTTTCAGAAGTTGGTTACCTCCACCTTCTAAAAAAACTGATTCTAGGAGTAAATTAGAGCATCAGAATCACTTCTGCACTTTCACACAAACACTCTAGCTTCTGCTTCCAGTTTTAAGAATCAGATCCAATCACCCCTACTTATGGAACCTTCTCAATTATTAATCCTTATTATGTGACATCACGAATACATGTTACATTGGGAAAATTGCATTGGTTTCGATTGGACGTTCTAAAAATTGGACGTTAATATAATTCTTCTTTTAGGACTAAATTTATTCAAGATGTTAAATTATTTTGCTTGGTTTGAATAAAGAGATTTTTTAGAATGGTAATTCAATTTGTTGTGATGCTTGCCGCGCTACACTAATTTTGGGAGTTTCACTTATTGTGATGCTTGCAGCGCTACACTAATTTTGGGAGTTTCACTTATTGTGATGAGAAGAATGGTGAAGCATTATAATGGAGCGTGTGTAATCGCTTACCCAAGATATCTAGCTTTTGGAGTAAGTGTTTGCTCCGTTCACGGTTGCATAGCCGCTATATGTTCTTTCACCGCTTTTAAAAGCTCTTAGTATTTTGGATGTTTTTAATTAGATTGAGATATTCTGACTTGGTTTGGTCTGTTTAAATCTCGTCTGATCTGAATTGAACTAGTCTGGTTTGGTAAATGTACGATCCATGTGTATTTTGTAACTGTCGAAATGTGGTCTGATCTGATTTGTTTAAGTCGTTATCCGATCTGGGCTGAAATAAGTCCAACTAAAAATATCCTAATTTGTCCTAAAGAAGCGTTAGACTTAGAATGATGGTGACTCTAAATTAAGGGGCGGATCTAGCATTTGCGTTGAGGGTGGGCCAAATTTTAATTAAATAACGTATATTGAAACAAATGTCAAAATGAAAAAAAGTAGTTAAATAATATTACAGAAATGTCAAAGAAAAAAAAAATTATAGAACAGACAATTTAATTATTTTAAAAGTCATAGATAACCCGAACAGAAATTGGCTCGGCTACTGAAATGTTCAATACTAATTTTAAAGTCAATTTCTCGAAAACCAGTTTTCTATTGACTCTATAGTGTAGTCTCTTTAAAAAAAATAAACTAATTAAATATCACTCACCAAGCACAATGAATTGAACTTATTAATTTTTCAAGTCAATATTGAAAAGTTCAATGAATTGAATTAATAAATTTTTCGGACTAATATTCAAATGTCAAATGAATTAAACTAATCTCAAACCAATACTCTAAAGCACAATGAATTGAACTAATTAATTTTTCAGGCTAATATTCAAAAACCCAATGAATTGACCTGAGTAATATTTTAGATCAATATTCAAAAGTCCAATTTATAAAATTGATGAAGATCAAATGTATATAGATATGTGGAATAAAGAGATATTGGAAAGAAAATTGAAAGTTTTAAATTACTAATAAAAAAATAAGTACGTGTTGCACACTTGCACTGAAATATTAAGTATTTGGGATTCGAACTCCAGACCTTATGATGCTATAAACGCTCAGTTCACTTCCATCGGGCCAACGTAACAGATGTTAGACTTTTGACTTTAGCTACTATTATCCCATATTAATCGAATCACTGTATATAAATAAATACATAATATATATACTAAATTGCAATCTACCAAGTACAGAGTGCATTACTCGTCATCCTATCATTATTAATAATGAATATCTCCACTAGTGCCTGATACAAGTAGTAGATTTCAACTCTCACACACACATATAAATTAATGTTATATTTGATGGATAGACTTGTATGAAACTTAGTAAGATGAAGACTATGTTTGGGTTGGTTGATTAATGTTAATTGTCAATTAATAGAACAATTAAGAAATGTTACACATCATTATAGGCTTTATAGTATACAACATTGAGTGTATGCATATATGTTGGGTGGTTTCTCCATTAATTTATGATGGCACATTATAAATTTCAATCAAGATTTATCATGGCACTTTGACTATGAATGAGTAAAAGACGACCAACTCTTCCATTAGATACATCCATACTCAGCTTCTTTGTTATCATAAATTATTGATATCTAGCATTCAATGATGTGAATTTCAACTTCAATGTGCTGATAACTACAGACATATACGGAGGATATATAATGTATTTAAAGTGTGTTCAGGTAGGGGTCTTCTCATTTTTAGATTTAACTTATACGGAGTATTTATACATATATAGAACATTAGAACTCCATAATGTTTACCCGTGCATTCATAGGATGCAATTCCTCAGCACCATAAGAAGCAGAAACACGTCAAAAGGATTAGAGGTGATATTGGGCGTGTTTGTCATTCAACGGTTGACGGTTAGCAGTTAACGGATTATTTTAGCGAGTTGTCAACAACGATTTTGTCAGTGGGTTTGACTAGAGGTATAAATTGGCGGGTTGTCAAAAGATTTTGGTAATTTAGCTGTTTGACCATAAAATTAGTAGAAAACGCCATTTTTCAAAACGCCAACCCAAAACTCTCCTATTAGCAGCGTTTTCATTTCAGCGTTTCCGTTCAAAAACAGTGATGCCTAACAACTATTTACCAAACAGTTTTTTCACTTATTGAAAATGTTAAGAGTGGTCAAATCGTCATTTTTCGCCCGAAATGTCGTTTACCAAACATCACTCTTTTGTTTCTCTTTGGTGTGCCCTTCTTCCAAGGCCGCCCCCATATATTAAAGGGCCTAGGGGCGGAAAAATAAAACAAGCCTAATTTTAAAAAAAATGTATTTTTTGTCGAAACTAACATGCATAACAATAATAATAACAACCATTTAAAAGAATCAAAACATTTATAAAAAACTTGTGAAATCCTCTTCTATCTAAATCAATAATATTATAGTATTGGTGGTCCTTATTTAAGAAGGAAACATTGGTGGTCTTATTTGGACACTTTAACAATCTTTTAGTTTTATTTAAGTAATTAACTCAATCTATTGGTGTGATCATTATGAATTAATGTTTCATTTTTGGTAGCTAAATCATTCTAATCTTTGAATTCTCATCTTGAGGGGTATTCAGAATTGGACTTCTTTACACAAACAAACTTTTCCATTGAAACATTTTTATTTAGTACCGCTTTCTCTAATTTTTTCACCCGGAAGCACCCAAAAAAAAATTTACCCGAAAAATCATTAATTTATATTAGGCCGGAAACTCATCCTACTTACACCTATTACAAAGAATTAGAATTGGGCTTATTTTTTCTCATTTTTTGGGCCTAGGGCTGCAGCCCCCCCCACTCGGCCCCCTGTCTTCTTCACTGGGGCCTAGGCGGCTGTTGATTTTTTTTTTAATTATTTTGCCGCTCTGCATTGTTCCATAGAAGAAAAAAATAAACTGGTTTGATGTATTTTTTCTGTATGCATGCTTAAATATAAATATATAATGGAGAAATCTCTATTCAATATCTTCGGTGTATTCATATTTTTCTTTATACATTCGCTAATTCAACACAAGATTTATGATATGAAAATAAAATTAGTGAAAACTATTGAACTTTTTGAACAATCAAGCTAAATGATCCCTTGTTTGCAAATGAAATGAATCAAAGCGAACACTTGCGATTATTATTCGCAATCACATAGATTAATTAATGAATATATGTGTTTGTTTTTAGTAGCCAAATCTTATTTTCTATTTGTAACCGATTGTTATATTTTACGTAGTATATTCGGCCTTGATTTGAATATTTGATGTCCAGAAACATTTGGAGTCAAATTTATTCGACGTTCAGAAATATATTATTGAAATATAATTTATGAAAAACTGTGTGACTATAAGTCTATCAACGAGTTATCGTTACAGACATTGTAGGGTAAAATTTAACACCATCATGTCATTTAAAGTTATAATTGTAGTTATTAAATTATAAGAAGTCACATTATTATTTGACATCACTACAAGAGAAAAAACACCTGCACGGATAGTTCTACCGGCAAAACAGTGAGAAATTTGAACAAATGATCAAAGATCGAAATCCACAATATCTGTATAGAGGTCACCATTCTTATGTGATGGGTTGGTCCTCTGATGTACACGGATATAAAGTCTATTATCGTTAGGATTGATTAAGTCGTGATTATCTTTTAGACAAACTACAAGAGAAAAAGAATAAAATGATGAATTTGTAAGCACCTAACGTGGGTTATGAGTTATGACTGGGTCAAAGTGAGACGGTCAGGCAACGATGGTCTTCCAAACCTCGGTAACTGCTCCGTGGGGAAGACTATCTTCTAGGTAAATTTGACTCCGTGAATGTTTTGGCGTAGTATATTACTCCATCCAAAGTACGCAAGTAATCGTGTCACTCTTATTGAAGTAAAATTGATTGTGTCACTTTATAAGTGTGACCCCGTTTAATTGGTTGGATTAGTTGATTCTACTGAAACGAAGTTGTGGATGAAGTGGTTGCATTAGTTGATATGACTGATTTATGTAAAAAAAAATATTAAAAATATGTTTTGTTAATAAAATTGAAAAAGTTATACGAAAAATAGATAAAATGTTTCTCTACAGTAACTTCAACCAATACAGTATGAAAAGTAACTCCAATTTTATAATTTTACAGTGGAATCAAAAATTTCGTGTTTGACGAAAAAATTGAGGGATAAGTTTGATAAATTGAAAAACATAATCACCAAATGGGCACTTAGTCTTTTTAATTTTATTTCAAATTTACACCAACTAAACGCTACTCCGTACTACATAATTATCTCAATTTATTTTTTATGATTGCAATTGATTTTGTATCATGACCTATTTACGAAAAGGTTTGTGATTTCTACCAGGCTAAATCGGAAAAGGTGGTCGCAATCAATTTTCTTAATATCGATGAAAAATCGACAAATAAAACACATTACTCTTTTCGTCCTCATAACTTTGTCTTTTTTAGTTTTTTCGTTCATCCTATTAAGTTTGTCTCTTATCATATTTGATAATATTATATGAGTGACTACAATCCATTCTTACTTTGTTAATACGTAGTACTTTTTATCAATTCTATATCAATCATACAATTTTACTTTTTCTTAAAAGCCATAACACACCCCTTTGTTCCAAACTTAGGAGGACGGAACTAGTGAAGTAGTATAAAATGAGGAGGGTTATTTTCATGGATTATTACGTACTGCACTCTCCTTATGAGTTACTAACCAAAGCCAAAACAATTACTTGAGCATAATTTACATTATAATCACACTAATTAGCCTCACGCTAAAAATGGATCGGTTTGTGTTTGACACTGTTTGGGTTGGTGTTGTAATGGATATTTTAGCTGGCTACTTTGAGATAATGGCAAAATGGCTTTAGCCTAATATGGATATAATTTTGATTTTTTCCGGTTCTAAAAGTAATGAACTAATGATGTTTTATTTATTCATTTATTTATTTATCCTAAAATCAAAATAAAAGCAGTATAGTATGCGATAATGTCTCCCTAGCTATAACTAACGCATAAAAGCATTCATCGATAGTGAAGGATAATAATGAATGCTTAATGCTGCAATCATTGATATCTTAAACCGGCATATCATAGAGTAATTTCATTTTTTATGGTTTTTAGTCTTTTACAATTTTAAAATTATTGCCATGTACGTAATAATTTTAGAAGCATTTACTCACCCGAAGGACGGAGCCAGTGGCGGAACCAGAACGAAAATAAAGGGGTGGCTGAGAGTGTGATAAAATGAAAAAATACAAATTGTTATTAAATTTTATAGAATATAAATTTGTGAGAAGAGTAGATAATATTACAATTAAATGTTGTAAACGTTGCAAAATTGCTTCATTTTCAATTTTGGCAAAAACTTCCTTCTCCATGTATATCATCAAGCTGTCTTTCATTCATTCATCTTCCATTCTATTCCGTAAATCAGTCTTGACGATTTTCATGCCAGAAAAGACACTCAATTGAAAACATGGTCACACGAGTAACCTAACAAGTTATAAAAGTTTTCGACTTTAAATTCTTAAATAGTTATAATCAATTAAAATTCACATGATACTAATTAATTAAAGACATGGCACAATCAATTTCAACTTTATACGGTTATACTCTGTACCAATTTAAGCAAGGGATATTACCCGAAATAGGACTAAAAAAGTTTGAAAATTCCAAAATAGGACTGCCTTGTTTTTATTCCCAAAATAGGACTAATTATTGCCAAATTTGGAAAATACTGTCATGTTTGAAGTCTGGTACTGTCAAAAAATGATAGTAATTAGTCCTATTTTGGGAATAAAAACATGGAAGTCCTATTTTGGAATTTGCAAACTTTTTTAGTCCTATTTCGGATAATATCTCATTAATCAAATACCCAAACTTATGGACTTGCCCAAAATAAGCAAATAAGCAACTGGCCTTCCGCAAACAAGCAATTTTAAAGGAAATAAGTAATTAAACCAACTACGCAATTAAAGTAATTCAAACAGAACCAATTTTAAAATTAATTACCACTTACGAACTTAGAGATTTACCCAAATCTTCCGCTTTGCCCTTCTGAGTTCGGACTTCGGAGTTCGTGATGCGCACACGCAGAGCAAGTCAGGCAGAGACGGAGAGTCTGGAGTTGTAACGCGAGGTCGGCGACTGGCGAGGCAAACAGATGAGGAACGCGAGGTCTGGACTATGGTAGGACGAACAGACACAGGCGCACAGCGAATGAGCGAAACAGAAAGGTCTGGACTACTACGTACTATGTAGTTATGATTAAAACGACACCGTTTTTCTTTTTTCTGTGCACTTATCCAAACGACGTCGTTTGGCTCTTTAATTATTAAAAAAGACAGCCTGTCCGCTCGTTCTCTACGCTCTGGTTCTCTGAATCTCCAATCTCCCACGGGCCACGACAGTCTCAGGAAGAAGACGAAGGGGCCGGCCGCCGGCCGGGGCGCTAAACAGTATACCTAATACTAATACTAAAAAAGTTCCGGCGAAGGGGTGGCGCCAGCACCGGCTGGCTCCCCCCTGGTTCCGCCCCTGGACGGAGCCAGAAACAATTATTAATATGCTCACTACACATTAAAGTTTTCACTTTTAATTTATTCATTATCGAGTATTTTATCCGGCAAGAGTGATTATTGTAATGACCCTTTTTTCCACAATAAGGTATACTTTTTTTAATAGTTTAGGTAAAGTAGCTAGTGTATAGAACACCATAAAATAAATATTACGGAGCGTATGTTATTTCATATATTATATATATGACCCTTTTATAATTGTATGTGAAGCGCTTATAGTAATCTTTATTAAGTTTTTGTACTCAATTTTATTCATTCTATATGTACATTTCGTTTGTAACAAAGGTGACAACTCCGGTACCCTTGTAAAAAATGTGGTACCGTACCTTCCATTCATTTGATTGGACCACATCACTTTATCATTTTTAATTTAGATTTAAATAATTTAACTGCTACATTCTCATTGGTACATGTGGACAAATGTATGATACCTTAATTATGAGTACCATAGCATCTAACAAACGTCTGTTGATAAAAAATGTCAGAATAAACATCTAATTTTCTTGTAACACGAAACTTTAGTTTATATTGTTTCACTTTCTAAATATTGTAACAGCACCAACTTAGTTTTAAAAAAGTTTGAATCACATGTATACATGCACGTTGAAAAAATTATTGATCATCCCATTTTTATAAAAACTTGTGATATCATTATCCAAACTTTCAATCCATATATGTATATAACTATATACAATAAAATATGTATTTTTCAGTGGTGCCATTTGAAGGTAACTTATTTTTGTTTTCAATTTTTTTAGTGTAAACTTTTTCAATATTCATATTTAACCCACTCCACTTTTATATATTTAATCCTAGTATAATTAGTCATCACTCAATCAAACCCAAATTCCAGGATCAGTCGTTGCCCTCTAAAACTTCAAGTTCCTACTTCCGGGTTCAAGAATTCTACTCCTAACATCTTGTATGAAACTTCTTCCAAATCTATGATCAATGACAAGGGGTGCTTCCTCACAACTAGGAGTCACCTTCCTTACCCATCATTGAAGTTCCCTCAAAGCTTCCTCCTACGTAGTTTTGATCCTATAAATTGAGAAGCTTGTAAAACTTTTAGAACACAACACAATCGAGAAGAGTTGTGTAATATTTATGAGAGATTTGTGAAAAAGTTTCATACAACATTTTGTTCTCATGTTAGCGGAAGAGTTGTAGTACAAAAGAAGTATTATAAAATGTATGTATATCAGTGTATATGTGCATTTTGCTCGTGTTTCATATCCTTAATTTTAAAAAATAGGTGCTTCTTTGAGTTTCTGGTTCCCGTACGTTTGTATAGAGAGCTGTGGACTTGAAAAACGCAACGTACGTCAATGTTTCTATTACAAGTGCTTCAATTCACTTCTCAAGTCTTAGTCTTTTTAATTTTAATTCGAGAACTGCGCATCTAGTTTTGTAAACTTTACTTTATAATTATCTCAAATTGCTTTTTATGATTTGGTATGACCTATTTGCGAAAGATTTGTGCTTTCTACCAGGGTAAATTTTGAAAGGTGTTGAGCGTCAATTTTCTTAATGTCAGTTAAAAAAAAGACCCCTACTATATAAAATGAAATGGGGAGGGGTATCTATCGTCTCCAATCTGGATTATTGTTATTGACGGATTACTTTATCTTTACTTATATTATTAATTATACAAACACTAATTAGCTAGCCTCACGCTCAAAATGATGAAATGGATTGTATTTTTGCTTGTTTTGGTTGCCGTTGTAGTGGATATTTTTGCTGGATGGTTTGTGATAATGGCAAACAGGGCTCAATCTAATATGGTATGTACGTGGTCATTACTCATTTTAATCATCTATGTGTTTTTATCAAATGCATATATGTATTCCAAATTTCATTATAGGATTCGGGGCTCTGAGTTTGTAAATGAATGAATACAGGGGTGGGCGGAGACGGGGAGGGGCTGAAAGGGGTACGTCTCGGCCACCCCAATATAAAAACTCTAATGTCACCGGGGGTGTAGCTCATATGGTAGGAAGGGGGTGCGACAAGAGAAAGGTACGGGCTCAACTCCAAACAATGATTTGAGATGAAATTTCACGCTCTTTCATTAGAGAGAGATCAAAGCTCAACTTACATACTCTCAGATATTTGTTTGGTTGGTTTTGGGAGGTTCTCATGGGTGGGGTGTCATCCGTTTCTAATGTCTATATATATAGGCATAAAGCCATAAATATTCTCAATCCTTAAAAAAGATGTTGACGTTCTAAGTTTTGACCTCTACAAAGTAAAATTCTTAAGCCTCAATCGTCATAACAATACATTTTTGACTCTGCCCGTGAATGAATATATAGGTGAAGTTTAATGTGGCTGATTGTCATGGAAGTGATGGAAGTTGGATCGTTGGTTTGTTATTAATGTTGGTAGCTTGGGTATATTCTAACTTTTTTGGACTTATTTACTTGAAGAGAAATGGGAAGCCCATCATGGGTCTATGCACAATAGTGTTCTTCGCCATTTCAAGGTACCTTCTAACCTTTCTTGATATAACTACTAGTTAATTCGTGTTTGGTGGTAGTTATTTTGTTAAACCGTTGAATCTCGTTTTTTTGTGGGCAAACATTTGAAAAGTGCTAGTTCTTTTGTTTATAAGCACGATTAAGCTACAATGTGCATCCAAACAGACTTTAAAATGGATGAAGTTATTTATATACTCTTTTTTATTGCCAAAACGCCACTAAATTTCGTAGCACAACTGGAATAAGATCCGTTACTGCATACTCCGTATTTGAGTGCAACTAGAGGTTTGAAGTTTAATAATTTATCAAAAATCTTCAACTAACGGGTTGGAGTTTAATAATTTAAGATTGTGGAAAGTAATAGTAAAACACGGGTTATGTGCGAAATTTGATCTATATATCTTTTTCTCTGATCTAATATATAATCAAATTCATTCAATCATAAATAAAGAATAAAAAGTAATTAAAGTAGTGCTTTGTGTGACTAGTCGGTTGAGATCTACTCCGTATATTTTAAAAAATATATGATCCTATACTATGGGAGTGTTTGCAATCACTTAAAAAAAACACTTCTCAGCTTTTGGCTTAAAAAAGCACTTATTTATCAAACACTACCAATTTTTACTTTTTCTCGGCTTGCGTGTGAAAAGTGCTTTTCCCCTTTCTATTATACAAAAAGCACTTATTTTACTAAACACTATCAACTTTTACTTTTCAAAATCACTTTTTTCTCAAACACTATCAACTTTTCCTACTAATCATTTTTTCCTTACATCTCCAAAAGTGCTTTTTTTAAGCAGAAGCAGTTGCAAACACTCCCTATGTGATGATGATGATATGAGTGCCTGTTTAAAAATTGATCCTTAATACGGAGTATGTTTTCTTGTGACATTCTTTCCAAATGATTACAGTGTTTGCTCCATGACTTTCTAAAAAAGGTGATATCCGTAATTGCATATGGTTCGAATAAATTATCACAATAAATGGAATAGTTTGTATATGAGAAATGGTTCGAATAAAATATCACAATACTTATGCACTCGGCATGTGTCCCTATCCGTAATTTGTATGATTAGGGTGGAGTACCTATTGAGGATTCAGGGAACAGTTTGTATATGAGAAATGGTGTTAAATAGGATGCATTTAGAATAACGTACGTATGGTACGTGATTATAGATGAGTACAATACATTCCCCTGTGCAAGAGAAATTTAGGTAGTTGTTAATTGGATTGATCTCAGTCCCAAATCAGATATTCAAAGTCAAAAACATACCAGAGTTAAACAAATGAGATAAGACCATACTTCGATAGTTTTAAAATACATATAGATCGATTAAAACATTCTTAATGTTGGAAATGTTGTATCAAATAAGTGTCTCATTTTGAGATATGCTTTATTTGAGGATTTGATATATATATCGGGTTTTGATATCTTAAATGACTCAATTTCCAGTTGAAAGGTGACTTCATATGAATTTTGTTTGATAAAATCAAAAAGTCAGTAGTGGATATTATTAAAAATTATTTACAAATATGTATTATTATTGATATATGAGCATATGTGGTATTATTTAAAGTTATTTTTAGTTCTCTTATAGGGTCATACATACACACCTAAAAAGATCATGTAAAAATACTGAATTCTACACCTTATTACTCTTTTCTTTAAGGAAAGTTTCCTAAATTTCAAGGAGACGTTAAATCAAAGATGACTTTTGATTATTCAAGGAAGGTGATTCCATTTGTTGTGATGTGTGCAGCTCCACATTAGTTTTGGAAATTGGATTGGTTGGATTTGGTCTAAAGGTGGTGCATTATAGTGGAGAGTGTGTGATCAAATACCCACGATATCTCGTCTATGGAGCCATTGCTTGCTTTGTTCATGGTTTCATTGCCTTTGTCGCCTCTTTCACCGCTTTTGATAGGGTGCAGGATCTTATGTCTCGTGTGGGAAAATAACACTTTGGATGAAAATGCAAATAATTAAACAACTTATAATAATCTACTATTTTATATATCCAATTATTTATTATTATATTAGTACTCCGTATATATTCTTTTTGGTAAATTACTCGGTTTATCTTTTACTTGTTTCATTACTTTTTAGGAGTAGTTTAGGAGTACATAATTGAGCAAGTGTTATGGGTTAAAAAGACACATAAATTGAAGCAATACAAAGACTTGCCATATCACCATTCCGACAATGCCAAAGACTTCAAAGGAATATACGAAGTATATCAAATGATTTTTGGGTTTTCAAATGCATGTCTTTCTAGACTTGGGTTTGAGTTTATGCCATCATCACATTTTTTCTCAAAAGACTCGAGTTACAATCAAAGCACTAAAAATGTGCCAAAAAGTATTGATAAATGATAATTGAAAGACACTGGAGTCTTTCATATCTGCAAAAAGTCACAACTCAAAAATCATAAAATAAAACTAATTTGTCATATGTTGCAAAGTTTTTGTAATTTAGTAACAAACTAGATGAATTTTTTCTAATAGAATTAAGGACCAAATACATAATGAGTATACATTCAAAAAGCATATGATTTTTTAATGACCTCATTAGATATGTTCGGCCGTTCTATAAAGAATTTCTCCTCTCGATTTACAATGTTTGATCAATGATAAATGTAACTTATCTTTGTCAACATTCAAACTTTGTTTTTTTTAGTAAAAAACAGTTTACATTAAAATTTCTACATATTCCTAAATAAATAATTCAAATTTTATAAAAAATTGATATATAAAGTAAAATACTAAGAATGTTTTAAATTGATAGCGTGAATAGTGAACGATAAGCCTTATTAAATTGGATAAAAAGGGTGAAATAGACCCTTCTACTATTACACATTGGTCACTTAAGTCCATATACTATAAAAACCATCATATAGACCCACCTACTCTTAAAAAACAATCAATTGAGCCCAATCATCTAAAACTAACCTTTAATACCTGGTCATTCCTTGCTTTCCTCTCTCATATTTATTTTTCATTTTCTTTTTTGCTTTCCTTACGCCACTCCCCCTTTGGTACACATATTTCAGATACGGATTTGGATTCGAAATCAATCGAGTTAAAACATCCTAAAACACATATTGGACCACTCGGGCCTTGATAAATTTTCCATGAATAATGTTGAACACTTGAATATATGCGCTTTGAAGATATCATGCAATCCATGCCCTTCACTTCTGACCTATTTTCTCCATGATTATCAACTTAATAAAATATGATGTGTTGTCATTCAAACAAAACATTATCACATGTGCTATTGTGCTTAGTTGATAAATTGTCCTAAATAAGAGTAAATAATATTTGAAACATCAAAATATGACCACTATATTTTTCTTCTCAAAAGAAGGGTCGTTACTGTCATGATTGAAATACAGTCATTAATTATACATAGTAATAAATGTTGTCATATCAAATGCATGCATAGTACTGCAACTATTTGACAGTAATGATTACAAGATGCCAGTAAAATATAGTAGTCCAATTTTAGAACTCTAAGACTTGATTACTCCTATTTTAGAAAATCTCCCTAATAAGTGCTTACGTCGTCTATACTGTCACATCGTTTAAAATTTCGTATCTTAATGATGTAGCCTACTAAAGTACTACTACATTCATCACAAATTGATTTGTAAAGTCAATTTTTTCTAAATAGTTTCATTTTATTCACTTAATTATGATATTAATTTGTAATTATATGTTTATTTGGATTTTGCAGTTTTATAGAGATTAAAATGTAGTTCCTGAATTTGTGAATTTTAATTATTAAATTTGAGTTAGTCATCAATAGGAAGAGAATTTGATTTTAACATTAGTTAATAAAAAAAATGTTGACTATGCGAATCGAGCTGGTAAATGTCAATAAAACTAAGAAATTTTATATATCTTGTGTACACACTTATTTTTTGGAGGTAACTCGTCTAAAAAACGTTAAAATTTCATAAATCATTCATATATACAGGTGAACTAAAATTGTACAAAAATGTACACGAAAAATCGTTCATAAAACTGATTGCGCCCAAAGCGTATAAAATTGACTAGTGCAACGAAATTAATCACTTGTGAATTTAACTTTTGACCACCTAGTGTCATTAAAATCTTAAATGTCATATCACATTTTTAATTGGAGCTGAGGATCATTACTTTCTTTTCAAATATGACTCACTCACATTTTAAATTAACATCATGTTGGACGCTGCTAAGTTTATATCGGGTGTTAAATAAAATAGGTAGAGAATTGTGTAAAGAAAGAGAAAAATAAACAAACCACAAATTATTTACTTTAAAGAAAATTGATAAAGTTTTTTAGAAAATTAAAAAATGAAAATTGGTAAGATTCAATGGAACGGAATGAGTAAGCTTTTAAATTTCATCCTTTTAATATGACTGAATAAGTCCTTGTGAATAAGTCCTGTGTGGGATCCTTGGCCATGCAGATCATTTTTGCCCTTCTAATCTACACAATGGCCATTGGATTGGAGAGAAGCCGTATGGGTCATGGTTATGTGCTGATATGAGAAGGGGTGGTGTGCACCCGGGTAACAAGTGGCTGATTCCTAGCAACTACATGCCAAGTGACAAAAGGGATGAAGGAGAGGTCTCGGGTTTTTTCGGTCAGAGCTATGTTTGACCAGGGAAGCTACGTGGTGGAAGGTCATCTCTCAAAGGGAAATGAAGTTGCTATTACCCTGGAAGATCCAAGGAAACGCAGGGTTATTGAACTAGTTAGCGAGGAGGGTGTTCAAGCAAGCATGGATGTCGATGATGCGGTTCCAAAAAACTTGCAGGTGGCGGTGCTGTCTGGAGAGCACCGCCAGTGATCAGGAATTTTTGTGATGTTCAGGAGGAACCTTTGGCGGAGGCTGGTCAAACCGCTCTCTCCTTACTGGCTGGAAAAACTGGATATTGTTCTTCTTATTTTTCTTTGTTTTCTCAAGACTTTTTAATTATTTTTGCTCTTACTTCTAGTAGCCGGTGCAACATTGATGTTAATAGAGTCTACCACATTGTGGGATTAGCGAGTTGGGCCGCTTTTAAGCGTGACTCTAGCTCTGAGTCTCATCCCAGTGTAGCCTTTTATATGGCGAACTTGTATCTGGTTCTCGTTTTTAATATGAATTAATTAAGTTATCTTTTTCCAAAAAAAAGTCCTTGTGAATAGAACTCCTTTTTTGAAGTTTTCTCTAGTTTCATTTCCATAATTCTATTTTTAACATATTCTTAAAAGGAAATCAAAGGACATTTAAGTAGTACCCCAACATAGGCCAGGGTGGAGTGGGAGGGTTCTGGGCCGGGCATGGCCGGACTTTGGGCCCAAGAGTTTAAGTCACGGTACAAGCCCGGGTTTGAACGGGTTCTGGGTCGGGTCGGGCTTCGGGCCAGGGTCGGGTTCAATTTGTTTTGTTTTTGTTTTTTGTTAATTAATTCAAAAGTGCTACAAAAAAATTCAATGTATATTTATTGAAACATGAAGTACAGTTGATAAGAATTTCAATCAACAAATACATTTGGTAAAAATTAGTCGGAATCCCCGCAAGATTCGGTTGTTGTTTCTTCCATGAAGTGGCGGTCGGGGGCAATTCAAATTTATTGAATTCTACATCATGCCGTCAATCAATCGTGAAAGCAAATGAGCGTCTCAAGAGATTGTGCGCTCAATCTTGTTCTATAATCGATGGGGACATTGCCGGGTTTGCTAAATTCTTGTTTCACGGCTACTGCTGACACTAGCATCGATATCACTTGCTTTGTCATCTTCGAAAAATCGGGAACATTCCTCCTCGTTAGTCGAGATTTGTGCAACAACGGGAGTTGATTTACTTTTTCCATAAGATTAGCAAATGTAGATTTGAAAATTGATTTTCTTTTAGATAAAGAAGCAGTTAGTTTCAGGGGAGGGGGGACGTTAACATTGTAACACCGTCCCCAAATATATTTACTCTTAAGTAAATGATGTAATAAACCATATGGAATGATTAATGAATTTACGAAGTTGTAAATTTTTATTATTTCTTTCGCGTGAATAGTAAATTTCACGTGGGACCCATCGGGAGCGGGGGCCACCCGATATTTCCGAGGCCATATGTTTTATTCATCTTGGCCTAGATGATAATTATATAGTGGTGGATATTTTATTTGGGCATAAGAAGGCCTAGGGTTGACCGATTGGTCAAAAATGGCCCAATTACTTGTAGCGACAATTTATCATATAACAGCCCGAAATGAATTTCGGTGACTTCTAAAATAAAGTTTTGGAATATATATTATTTCAAAGGGCCATTACGATCGTGAGTAAGTAATATATTTTATTTGACCCAATAAAATAAAATATATTTAAAATAGTAAAAAAAATACAACTTTCGGGGCCGAATGTACATTTTGGGACACAAAGGTATGACCTCCCACATGGGTGGGGCCCACCCCACGTTTTTGTGTGCTCAAAAAGACCTATGGGGACTGGAATGACAAAAGATTATGTGGAGGATCATTTGGCATCTATAGTACCAAGGAGGACCCCTCACCCTCTCTTATTTGTCATTTGAGACAAAAGTGAGTATCCTCTCTCACCCCTATCATTAAGCTCGACCAACCCCAGCAAGAAAGGAGAAGGAAGCTCTCAAACCATCCTCCATAGCTACAATACGAGCTCATGCAATAGAGGTCTAAGGAAGGAGATTAAAGAAGGAAAAAACTACGAAAAGTGTGGAGAATTAAGGTAATGACCTTATAATAACTTTTCCTTTATTTTTCTTCTACCATATGACTTATATAGCATATGTGAACCCTTGTTGTGGTTCTACATATTTACATATGTAGAAATATGGGTTGGAAAGTGATGCAAAGTCCAAGAACGGACTTATAGTCAAAGTTACCAGTTCGCCGGAAAATAACCTTTTTGAGGTTGATTGTATTAATATGGGTTTTATGATTATAAAACTTATTAGGAACTTGATTAAGGTATTTCAAGAGCTTTCACAAAGTTGAAAGAGTCGCCGGAGTTGTCGCCGGAGTTCGTCAA